CAACAAGAAAACCGGATTTGTTCTGATGCAGAAGAACAGCCAGACATCAAAACCCTAAGCCCCAAACCCTAAACCCTAAAGCCTACACCCCTAAACCCTAAACCCTAAACCCCTAAGCCCTAAACCCCTTAAGCCCCTAAACCCTAAACCCCTAAAGCCCTAAACCCCTAAACCCTAAACCGCTAAACCCCTAAACCCTAAGGGGATCCCCAAAAAGTAGTGTGTATGTTCTATGCATGAGGGCCTCCGAGGGACTTGGCGGGTTGGAATTTAACGGTTCCATGCGATCTGGGAGGGGGGTTTACAAGGTTTTGTAAGGGTTTACAGGTTCATTTGGGTGGTTGTCAAAATTATGGTCCCTTTTTGGGTCCTTATTATAATATGGCACCTATTATTTAGGGTACCCCAAAAGGGACCATAATTTTGACAACTACCCATTTAAGTTCATTTAAGGGTTCCAAAACAAAGGGCTCAGGGCTCCGTTAAGGGTTCCGATTTAGTAAGCTTCTACAGTGGCAGGGTTGAAGGGCTTAGGCGTTAACGTAAGCGTACATAGGCCCCTTAGGGCCTATAGAGCTCCGTGTTGAGTTCTACAAAGGCTCCTTTAAGGGTTCCACAACGGTTCGCTGAATTGCCCCCCCCACCCCCCCCCCCCTCCCAAACAAAAAACAAATACACGGTTTCGAGCTCCACCCCCCTGCCCATCTCCGGTCCCCCTATATAGGGCATGGCGGGATAAGGATTTTGTGTGTATAGCTGTATGAGGGTCATGGAGCATTGGGGTTAGGGTGTACGGGGATAGGGTGGAGGCTAGGAGGTACAGGAGATAGCGTGCTGCTCCTCTCTGCTGCTTTTTGTTCAAGCAAAGACCTCCAAAAGCTTAAACCTACATGGGTAATATTGTTTAGGGTCTAGGGTTGGGTATTTTCCCAAGGTCCGGGTTGCGCTTTTCGGCTGGCTGAAATAGCTTTCTGGTCCAAACATGTCCCTGTGCTGTCGACATACTTGGGGGTTCATGGGTAGTTATAACTGGGGTTATAAGTAGGGAAACTATACTTATAACCCATATTAGGGGACTTATAACCCCACTTAAAACTACCCATGAACCTCCAAGTAGGTGCTACTTCTTTTCGTGGGTCCGCCTGCAGGGGCAAGTCGCGGTCTGCGTACGTAGTTTAGGGTTTAGGGTTTAGGGTTTAGGGGTTAGGGTACATCAACTCTCAATCCTATGCCTATAACTGTTTCGGTTCTGAAAGCCTGGACCCCCCAACTACCCTCTGTTGTACCTTAAATGCCCACTCTTCGGCACCATAAGGGCTCCATGAAAGGGCCTTTGGCGGGGGCTGATACATCACGGATGATCCATTTTCCATCTCAGAGCCCCCCCCCCTCCGAACAAAAAGCCTTGGAGCCTTGGAGATGTCCTAGAGTCCTAATATATCTTAATTGGTTTAGGGTTTAGGTTTTAGGGTTTAGGGTTTTGGGTTTAGGGTTTAGGGATATTAATTTAATTCGCACATCATGGCTATTTAGAGAACAAGTAGGGTTGGAGACTAGGTGAACCATAAGCCATCCTCAAACTCCCTAGAGCCTTCATCCTAGGGTGTAGGGTTTAGGGTTCTAGCACACAAAATCCCTAGACCCTAAACCCTGAAACCCTAAACCCTAAACCCTAAACCCCTAAACCCTAAACCCTAAACCCTATAAACCCTAAACCCAAGCTCCCCAAACCTTTTAAGCCCCACATCCTCGCCACCCCGGAAGCGAATCCCGCACCCTGGCTATGACTGAAGGAGAAAGCTGTGGCCCATATAGGTTGGGCCTTGAAGCCCTCTCAAAAAAGTTAACGTAAGAGGGTTAAGGGTTTAGGGTCCCCTTAAACGTGTCTAGCATCCAGAGCTGCCTTCTCTGTCGGGCTGCGGCGGATATCCGAACGGCTTCCTGCAGAATTAGGCGCTGACTTTGCGAAGCGTTCGCTGGGTTTGGGAGCCCAGAGGATTTAAGAAGTCATGTGACTACTACAGCAGACTGCTGCCTCGTTGGCGGTACTCCGGATCAGGATGGAAGGAGTACAAGATTTATGGATCAGCGGCTGTTCAGACTAGACTAACACTCCAAGGATTTCATTCTCAAGCCAGCGTGACGCCGAACAAGCATGCAAAAGACATACCTTAAACGGTGCCTGACTCTGAGTGGACTTAGACACCCTTTAATTCCACACGATTGCCACAGCCGTGGCACCAAAGCAAAGCGTCGAAGGATTAATTGGGCTAATTAAACCCTTAGAATTAGAAACGCCTCTCAACTTTTGTGAATCCGAAACCCTAAACCGTTGCAGGTTCCCTGATTCTCCCTAAGGGTCCATGTACCTAAATAGTAGAACATTGGCCCTAAAGTACCCATATAGGGACTACATTAAAGGCCAAAGTATATACTAGTTGGGTACATGGACCCTTAGGGTCTTGGAGGCAAGGCGCAGGGTTCTGGCAGTTAGCGCGAAGGACGTGTCGCCTTCGATGGTTCGGTCTTGGAATTTGATGTCTTGGCTCCCGGCAGTCACAAGTACTCCAATATCCCTGAATTAAGGAATATACCTTAGATTATAGTAGGATCCCTTATATGATTTAAAGTATATTCCTTAATTAAGGGATATTGGAGTCTCTGGGTTCACAAATACTCATCCTTCATGCTCGTTTTCTCTGAAGCGCATTACCTCTAAGGGTCCAAGTAGTCCTTATTTATGGTTTTAAGCACCCAAAAAGGCCCCAAAGTCCTTAAATAATGAGTACTTGACCTCTTAGGGTACTACTGACAAAATCCTGCATGACAGAAATATAGCATAGTACCATAAATCCCATAGTTTAGGTATATAAGGTCATGCAGGATTTTGCCCATCAATCGTAGTTGGTACTCTTCTAGTGAACTTCGGGCAATAGGCCTCCCGAGAGGCGAACAACGTCGCACGACTTCGGCTCCTGAACTCATGAACCTTATCGGTTTAGGGTTTAGGGTTTAGGGTTTAGGAAACCCTAAACCCTAAACCCTAAACCCTAAAACTCTAACCCCCCAGGTACCTACTATATAGGGCACTAGAGCCCCTAAAGCCCTATATACTAGGTACCTGGGGGGTTAGGGCTTATTTTGGGACGACTGTCTTTCGAACGCTGGCAGACCGTGCTACCTCGGGGCGAAAGTTTAACAACCACGCAGCAAAAATGATCCTTCGTTGGGCGTACAAGGACCCCTATACTTGTCGAAATCCTTGGTAGCATCAACGCCTGCTCGCTGTTAGACACATAAACGCAAGCAAGTTCTCGCGATGCGCCCCAGAAGCTCTTAACAATGCTCTAATGCGGGCCCCTTAGTAGGATTGGGGGTTTGAAGTTTGAGAGGCCCCCATATTTAGCTCTATAGGCATACTTGGAGGTTCAGGGTAGTTACAAGTGGGGTTATACGTCCGCTATATGGGCTATAAGCATAGTTGCCCTTCTTATAACCCCAGTTATATCTACCCATGAACCTCCTAGTAGCTATGGTTCGGGAAATTCGGCTTCCAAGTTCCAAGTGACCTTCCTGCTCGGCGATGCGCATGGACATTGCTGCCAAACCACCTACCATGGGCTTCTCACGGGCTTTAAGGTTTTATTTTAAGGGCAATGACTCTTTCTCCACAAAGCAACGCAAAGGGCTGTGTAGGGTTTAATGCTCAGAGTTTTTGGGGGTGCCAGATCATCGAGATCTACGCGGCCCAAAGCCGTTTCGGCCATGGATATCAGCCTAGCGACCAAAGGCCGAAACATCGGCGGGGAAGTCCGCCCAAGCCCAGCACGCATCCCGATATGCCAGCTCACCCTGCTTGGAGGTTCATGGGTAGTTATAAGTGGGGTTATAAGTCCCCTAATATGGGTCATAAGTATACTTACCCTACTTACAACCCTATGTATAACTACTGTACCCATGAACCTCCAAGTGCATCTTGGCGATGCCCGTGAGCTTGTCAGCCTGAGCTGTTGCTGTCGCCGCGGCTCCTGGCTCCTGGCTCCTTAAAGGATCATGGGACTTAGTAAGTAGGGTTATAATTAGGGTAACTATACTTATAACCCCATTAGGGGACTTATAACCTTACTTACTAAGTCCCATGATCCTCCAAGTACTTTATGACGATGTGACGCCTTCCATCCGACATCTGGCAGCCAGAACCTCTCAAAACCAACAGTATTCCAAGGTCGTTGTGTGCCAAAGGGGCGTAGGGTGGAGATTTGTAGCAACAAAAGCCCTAAACCCTAAACCCTAAACCAATTCTCCGTTGCCCAAGAAGGCCTCGAGAAATCGAATTTCCTGAGCCGTTCCATCCGTTTCTGCTTAAATATCATCGGCTCCAGCTCCTTTTTGTGTAGGGTTTAGGGTTTAGGGTTTAGGGTTTCGGGTTTAGGGTTTAGGGTTTAGGGTTTCGGGTTTAGGGCTTAGGGTTTAGGGGGATCCTATAAAGGTAATCCCAAAAAGGAACTACAATGGAGGCTATGGGTATGTCTAAACCCTCAACCCCAAGCCCCTAAACCCTACACCCCTAACTCTACACCCTAAAACCCCTAGACCCTAAACCCCTAACCCTAAACCCCTAAACCTTAAACCCCATAGGAAGACACCCTATAAACCCTATAACCCTATAAGCCCTAAACAAGAGGTCGAACCCCGGCCAGGCCTGGTTTCAGCACGCGCCGTGCTTCAGACAGCTTCGCCGTCAGATCCTCAGCTGCGGTTTAGGGTTTAGGGTTTAGGGCGACAAGTTTGTAGGGATACTTTTAAGGGATCCTATTTAAGGCTTAGGGATCCTATTTTGATTTTGTTTTAAAGGGGTCCGATTTAGGGTTTAGGGTTTAGGATTGAGGGTTTAGGGCTCAGGATTAGGTTTAGGATTTTCTTACCGCTCGGGCTCTTGTGCCGAGCCTCCTGCCTCTTACCCGCAGGGATTCTTCACAGGGATCAGGGTTTAGGGTTTAGGGTTTAGGGTTTAGGTCTAAGGTTTGTAGGGTTTCGAGTTTACCTAAGCCCTGAGAAACCTACTTAGTTAGGGCTGGTTGTCATGATGCCCTCAAGTTTACCTAAGCCCACTTAATTGGGGCTCCTTGTCCTGATTTCCTCATGTTACCTTTGAAACCGTAGTAGGCTTACCAAGGCAAGAGTTCAGTTTTGTGCTTCGAGAGTATCACATCAGCCATGTCCTCCTTGTTGAACCCAGAGAGCCCAATACCTCTTAAGTAAGGAGTATAATACCTTAAATCATAATATTAGGGCCCCTATAATGTAAGGTATACTCCTTAATTAAGGGGTATTGGGTTCTCTAAATATGCCCCCCACATACAAACGAAAAGCATGAAGGCTGCTTGCTTCCACGAGCGTCCGACGTGCAGCAGCATCCCAGGTTCGAGACATAGCCTCACACTTCGGCGCAACGGGTCTTGTGGCGGGTGTGACAGATACTTGGGGGTTCATGGGTAGAAAAAATGGGGTTTGGGGGTTCCATTAAAGGGTTACTCTAAGGGTTTAGGGTTTAGGGCTTCGGGTTCATGGGTAGTTATAAATGTGGTTATAAGTAGGGTAACCGTACTTATAACCCATATTAGGGGAGGATTTAGGGTTTAGTCTAGGACATTTTCAGGTGGGTAGTCGCCGTTATAGGAGCCTTATAGAAGGTCTATATAGCTTATAGAAGCCTTGTAGAAGCCCTCTATACCCTAAACTCCCGACCTGCCGTTTCCTTTGATGTGAATCTGAAAGATAAAGGGCTTGGGGCTTCCAAGGATTAGGGTGCAGCGGGCCCTTACCCATAGTAGTACCTTTTTGGAATTACCTAATAGGATCCTAAATACAAGCCATGAAAAGGAACTACTATGGGGCCTATGGGTAGGCATCAAGCATACGTGAACGTCCATTGAAACATGGTGAAGGCTCAAGCATACTTTTCCCCAACTTATCCCATGAGCTTTCCCAAGAAAAAGGCCAGAAGTACATCCAGGACATACCTTGAACTAGCAAACCCTACGTTTTGGAGGTGCTTGTTATACACCCTAATATGGAATTTATAGGGACCCTACAAAAGAGTAGGTTTTGGTAGGTTAAGGTACTGGAAGACTGATGATACCTCAGGAGGAGCAAAGACTCACAAGCATGCGCATCTAAAGCCAAACCCAGAGTGCCGGCACTGCCCTGGTATGGGGGCCTCAATAATTCGAATAGGGTTTAGGGTTTAGGGTTTAGGGTTTAGGGTTTAGGGTTTAGGGTTTAGGGTTTAGGGTTTAGGGTTTAGGGTCTAGGTTTTGGCCTATAGTATATTGCTCTAGTTTTAAGAAGGATCCCCAAAAAATAGTACAGGTAATGGTTAAGGCCCCTATATTACATTCCTGACACGTCAACCCTAAGGTGCCATGTGCCCATCTAGTCTATACCTAGGCCTTAAAGTACCTATATAGGGACCCCATTTAGGGCTTAAGTATCTCCCATAAAGGTGCATGCAGCCTTTGGGACAACCGACTGCAAGCCACGCAAGCTTCACCCACAGAGTCTGGAAACCATCCCTGAACCCTAAACCCTAAACCCTAAACCCTAAACCCTAAATGCGAACGCTTGCGCCGTTGCTTGCCAGGCGGCGATCGAAGCATGCGCTCTGAGCACAGGGCTCTCAGGCTCTCAGATGCTTCAATTCTTGTCGGTTTAGGGTTTAGGGTTTAGGGTTTAGGGTTTTAGGGTTTAGGGTTTAGGGTCTAGGGTCTAGGGTTTAGGGAGCCATGAGTTGAAAGGGCTACGCAATCCATGGAGCGCGTCGGAAGTTCCATGCGGCTGTCCAAGATGCCATAGCAAGTGTTGGCAAGATATGTAGAATGTAGATGGGTCTCCTGTAGGACATTGGGGAATGACGGCTTCAAGAACATCCCAGTCGCAGTGTAGCTTGGAACCCACTACGAAGCATTAAAGCATGCGTTTTCAAATTCACTTCAGGGCTGCAGCACAATCATCATCGACATCCGCATCAGTATCAGCATCAGCATCAATAGCAGCTCTCATCATGAAAATCACCAGTCGGGCTGAAACGAAAACACCACGAAGGCTGGCGATGGAAACCATGAAAAATCACACATGCCTATGATGGTAACAACCCCGAAGGGTCCAAGTACCCATTATTTAAGGACTTTGGGGCCGTCTTGGGTACCTAAAACCATAAATAAGGACTACTTGCACCCTTAGGGAACGCCTATCAATAAAGGACCCAGTCCTCACACCGGCCTCGAACGGAAGTGCCGTGGAGTCGCCAACCACACACTTCCCTCGTCCTCGCGTGAACCGACATGCAGCTTAGTCCGTGTGTAACCCTTACCCTCAAAGGACTCATATTTTAAGGATTTTGGGTCCAAAGACCCTATTATAAAAGGCTTTCGGCCTATTTTGATGCTAAGGGTACATAAACATATACAGTTATGCGCATGTAGTTCTGTCTCTATCTATTCATGTATGTACTGATTGGTATCAAGCTCCATTGCCGTCCGAAATAACCGTATGTGTGGGCGCTCAGGACGCAATACGAATTGCAGGCACATGTTGGCACTCAAGACTTAAGACTTAAGGTGCGATAAGCTTACGACTCGCGCGGCATAATGGTGAAGACCGCATGCACACCTGCCCCTCATCTGGGTTCCTGAGTGAACCCTTTAATAAGCGTGCCCTTTTTTCTGTTGTTCAGTTTTGATTTGGGAACTATACAAAAAAAAGGGGCAAAAGGCTACTACTCAGGAACTAGTCATCCTCATCCCTAAATCCTAAACCCTAAACCCTTAAACCCTAAACCCTGGACCCTAAGGCCTAAGGCCTAAAGCCTAAAGCCTCCTTCTATGACGAGGACTGCTGCTTCTGCTTCGGTGAGGCGCCACCATGTGGGTAGCCATAGGCCCTAAGGTAGTTCCTTTTTGGGGTTCATATATAGAATTCTATTAGGTAATCCCAAACAAGAACTACTTTAGGGCATGTGGGTAGCTCTCTGAAACTGGGTCCCCTTAAGGGTAACTTGGAGGTTCATGGGTAGTTATAAATAGGGTTTAGGGTTTAGGGTTTAGGGTTTAGGGTTTAGGGTCTAGGGTTCATGGGTGGGTATAATTGGGGTTACAAGTAGGGTAACTATGCTTATAACCCATATTAGGGACTGAAAACCCCACTTATAACTACCCACGAACCTCCAAGTAATTGGGGACCTAAGAAGGGAGCTGCCCATGTGTCTATCACTAGGGGGAAAGCGAGTGCAGATTCTGGTGCTAGCAAGAGTGCTACCAGGCTTTGTGACCCATTAGTATTCACGACTCAGCCACAAGGGTAGTTCTCTAAACTAGGGTCCTTTTTTAGGTACCCAGTATAGTACGGCCCCCTTATGAAAAGGACCCTTAAAGCTACCTATAGTCTCCATTGTAGTTCCTTTTGGGGGAGACCTTAATTATAAACTCGTTAATATATATATATATATATATATATATGGTTAAACCAAAAGCTGGAACTACAATGGAGACTATAAGTAATTTAGAAAGCTACCCACAAGGATACTCAGCTCCACAGGCGCTCTGACAACCCGGCATCCCCGAACGCTCACTGCATGCCCTGCTCCCTCCAAGGGCCTCCCAGCCGCTCTTCCGCGCAGGACAGCATCCCATGGCCTCGGATGGCTCTGATTTTGAAGGTAGTATTATTAGGGGTACCCCTTAAAGGGTACCCCTTCTGAACCGTACTTTTGGCTCTCTTAAAAGGGACCTCATTGAGAGGGTCTATATCCCCAAGGGTCCCCCTAATCCTAGCTCCCATTTTGAGGGGGGACAACAAGCACAGGGTTTAGGATTTAGGGTTTAGGGTTTAGGGTTTAGGGGTTTAGGGGTTTGGGTTTAGGGGTTTAGGGGTTTAGGGGTTTATATAGGGTTTAGGGTTAGCTTTTCCGAACCTGAAGTCGTAGGGTTCTCCAAAGATCACGAGGCGTTTGTTGTTTAAGGGCGCTTTTCGTCGCTTGCGCTCCAGAGCCCGAGGTGGGGACGCTCAAACTCCCTTTACGTGGGGTTTAGGGTTTAGGGACCGTGTTTAGGGTTTAGGGTTTAGGGACCGTGTTTAGGGTTTAGGGTTTAGAGTCAGAAAATGCGAATCGGAACCTATACACAATTGAGAACACTCAGACTCACGCTGCTAAGCTTTCGCATGGGAGAATGCTGGCGGTGTTTTGGACTGGCGGCGGCTTAGTGACCTCTCAGGGTTCAAGGATCAGGGTTTGACTCTGTCGTTTAGGCTTATATAAGCTGTTCTTGCTTGACGGGATTTGGAAAGGGTTGCAGGGTTGGTGGCTGCGAGGTGTGGGGTCTGTGTCTGGGAATTTGCTTACGCTTCGCCAAGCTTGAGTTCAGCGATAAATCGCATTCACAGAAGCTGTCGAGACTAGAATCGCACAGCCCTAAACCCTGAACCCCTAACCCTAAACACTAAATCACTGAACCCCTATCGCCTCCGACTTCCGGGATTCGAAAACGTTTTCAAGACGGCTTTGCAGCTTCAACATCTATGACAGCACATGGAGCCTCTGGGCCACCTTCTGAAACTCCCGCAAGACCCCGACCCGCTAATAAGTGCGCTTCCAAACGCTTCATCCGTTTAGGGTTTAGGGTTTATTTAGGGTTTAGGGTTTAGGGTTATAGGGTTTTGGGGCCGATAACGCTATAATCATAATAAGGAACTCCCCCCCAAAAAAATAGCATTGGTAATTGTTCAGGCTTCTGTATGACACCTTTAAACAACAAATCCTGATACCCGAAGCAGGCAAACCTCGAGTTCCTAAGCCGCTTTCGATTTACTGTCTTTTGTTGTTGCATGTGGCTTAAGAATGACGTTAATGCGCGTTCAGCTCTCCAAAACCCTAGACCCTACACCCTAAACCCTAAACTCTGAACCCTCAACCCTGAACCCTGAACCCTAAACCCTAAACCTGAACTCTGAACCCGCGATTCTAAGACACCCACCACGGTAAGCTTGATAAGAACTTCTCTTGGAACCCTGTAAACCCCGACCCTGCAGTTCAAGACATCCCCTGAATCATAAGGACCCTTGGGGGGTTAGGGTTTGCAGGGTTTAGGGTTAAGGGTTTGGGGTTTAAGGTTTAGGGTTACCCAGCACCCCTAGTAAGGACCCGGTAGGTGCTTGACAAGGCCGGTTTCCAAGGACATAAAGTCCCCTACCCTTCCGATGAGGTGGCTCTTACTGAAGGGTGCCAGACCTCCCGGGGTCGGATGTGTGATTCTGGGATTTAAGGTTTAGGGTCTGTGGGGCTTTGGGTTTAGAGTTAAAGGTCAGGGTTGAGAGTTGAGGGATAAGGGTTTAGGGTCTGGGTTCTAGGGTGTGGCTAGAATCGAAGATTTGGGTGTTCCTTACAAACCCTAAACCCTAAAGCCTAAACCCTAAACCCTAAACCCCAACAAACCCTAAACCCAAACTGTCTTCAAAATCCGCGAAGCCGGGAGGCTCCGGGTTCAGGGTTCGCCGTTTAGGCTTTATATAGAGGCTTCAGGGTTTTCGGGGTGCAGAGGCTTCAGGGTTCTAGGGCTTCGGGGCTTTAGGGTTCTAGGGCTTCGGGGCTTTAGGGTTCTAGGGCTTCGGGGCTTCAGGGTTCTAGGGTTTATTTAGGGGCTTCAGTGTTCTAGGGCTTTGGGGGTTTAAGGTTCTAGGGTTTAGGGGCTTCAGGGTTCTGGGGCTTAGGGGGTTCAAGGTTTAAGGGTTTGGGGTTTAGGGGGTCTAAGCTTTCACGGTGACCCTTGAGAGGTTGCTTCTTGACGAAAATGCTTGTGAGTAATTCGGTATCCCTGCTGGACCACAAGGAAGCAAAGAGAAAGGTAGTAGGGGCCAGGGGTTAGGGTAAACCCTCTTCGCTTTTAAATCTGCAAACCCTAAACCCCAAACCCGCCAACCCTCAATCCTAAACCCCTCAACTCTAAACCCCTTCACTTCATCCTAAGATCTTAACACTGATCCCTAAACCCTAAACCCTAAACCCTAAACCCTAAACCCTAAACCCTAAACCCCTAAACCTAAAACTCCCGGCTTCGTCGATTCGTGTCGCGACCCGAGGCACCGATGACTCGGGAGCCGAGGCCGCTATCCACCATGGCCTCTTTGGGATTAGGGGTTTAGGGTTTAGGGTTTAGGGTTTAGGGTTTAGGGTTTAGGGTTTAGGGTTTAGGGGATTACCCATAGGCCCCTTAGTCGTTCCTTTTTGGGATTACCTTATAGGATTCTATATATGAACCCCAAAAAGGAACTGCTATGGGGCCTCTTTGGGATTACGGATGATTAGGGGACTTTAGGATTTAAGGATTTGGGATTAGGGGACTTTAGGATTTAAGGATTTGGGATTAGGGGGCTTTAGGGTTTAGGGATTTGGGATTAGGGGCCATAGGAGTTATAGGGTTCCAGGGCTTCGCATACGGAATTAGGGGGGAGCGGGGGGAGGGGTTGCAGAGTTTTTGGAAGGTTTAGAGGGGCTATGGCGGGGGTAGGGCTTTGGGGCTTTGGAGGTTTGGGGCTTTTGCGGATCCGGGGTCGGTCAAAGGCAACTCTGAAACCGAAAGCTTTCCGTGCTCTGTTGGTGTGGGCGTCTTGAACAAGTCCGCAAGAAGTGTTCGAAGGGCCCTAAACCCTAAACCCTAGAGGGAAAAGGAGACTACACGAGTGGTGTTCTGAAGCCCTAAACCCTGAACCGGGTTCTAGTTTGTTGTTCTTGCGAGACTCGAGGTTTGGGGTATAGTGTTGATGTGTTGATGAGGGCTCAGGTTTTCGGTTTAGGGTTTAAAGGGTTTTTGGGGGCTTACCTGGACCCCAAATAACCTGCCTTTCTAGGGTTCCTTATGATTATAGTTTCTTTATATAAATCTTTAAAAAGGTAGGTTCTTTGGTGTTCAGGTAGGGGTTTAGGGGTTTAGATCTTGGGCGGCTAGGTTTGTTGGAAATTTGGGCTCAGGGCTCGGTTCGGCCGCTGTGCGTTGTCATTGCGGTCGAAGGCTCTAATTCAGGGCCTTAATAAAGTGTTGGGGGTAGCACCACCCCCCTTTCAAACCCTAAGCCCTAAACTACTTAGATTCTTACTAGAACCACCAGCTACCTGAATAGCGAATGTACAGCCAGCTTGCAAAAAGACGTAGGGAATTGCAGACTGTGGCCCTTATCGATAACCCCGAGCCCTCAAGAGAACGATCAAAAGGATCCCCTAAAGACGGGGTTATAAACCAGAGCCTGCCTTGTACAGGGGGGCGGCGGTTGTTCCCATCCTCAGGCGATTGTCAGACAGGTGCGAATTCTGGTGTTGGGTGTAAGTGTCTCAGTTTTGGAGATTTAGAGGTGTGAGTTTCAGTGCTTGGGGGCTGGGAAGGGCTTTTGTGAGAATCTGTAAATGGCTTTGGAGTGAGTATAAACGGCTTTGGGGTGAGCAAAAACACGGAACAAAGACCATTCTTGAGGTCGTGGGGTTCTTGGTGCTGGATTCATAGGGCTTAGGGCTTCGGGTGTCAGTTTATTTTCGGCCGTCGAAGCATACTTGGCTTGGGGATTTGCACTGGCACCAAAGAGGGTTAGGATGTCGGGTAGGCTGAAGGCGTATGCTCGGCCGACGTTGTGAGCACGGGGCTTGGGATTTAGGTTTACCCAAACCCTAAACCCTCTTTGAAGGGCTTTGGCCCCTACAGCTGCAGGCTCAATAGGAGCCGAAGGAACAAATGACAAAGACCCAAGTCTCTGAAACTTATCTCCTGAATCTCCACGGCAGCCAAACCCACACAACCCCAAACCTTGAACCGATTACAACAACCCGAAAGACACTCTACAGGATCCCTTGCAGCAAGATTTCATGGCTGTCTGCAAGGAGTTTGCTGAAAACCTAGACTCAGACTCCAACCTCTTAAACCCGTAACTCCTACACCGGCGGCAGACCCCAACCCCTCAACCCGTAGCCGAGCCGCATCAGATGATTCAGGAAAGACATTGCCAGGCTGGTTTGCAGGTCCTCCTTCCCCTCAGAGACGACCCAATTGACCTGATGGCTAGAAGATTTTAGGACATCAGGATTTGGGGTTTGGGTTCAGGGTTTAGGGTTTAGGGTTCAGGGTTTAGGGTTCAGGGTTTAGGGTTTGGGGTTCAGGGTTTAGGGGCTTGCTGCTTTCGTTTGGAGCTTAGAGCTTGGCCTCTGAGACGGCCCAATTAACCTGAGGCGACTAAGAGGTTCAGTGGAACATGGAACTGGGACGGAGGGATATAACGACTTTTCTGGCTGTCTATGTAGGTATAGCTATAGCTACCTTATACTTATGAGCCTATATAGTTCGGAGTTTCGGGGTTTGGGGTTGCGAAGATGATGATGCTGGGTCCCGATACAAGACGCGACACACCATGATCCTGGGAGTTGGGATTACGGGGTCCCCTTTAAGAGAGCCAGAAGTAGGGTTGCCTAAACCCTAAACCCTAAACCCTAAACCCTAAAACCTGGGATTAAGGGTCCCCTTTAATTTAAGAGAGCCAGAAGTAGGGTTGCCAGAAGTAGGGTCACCTCTGAGGGGTCTCCCTATTACTACCTAGGAGATCAGCAAAAGAAGGAACCCTAAAAAAGTAGACCCAAGAGGGTCCATAGATGCTGCTATTATGGAATTAGCTCCCTAAAGCCATAATAAGGATGGTCTTTTGGGACCTAATTACATAATGGTAATGTATATGGACCCTCTGGGGACGTGCAGGAATGCAAACAGATCTTGCATTCACATGCACCTATTTACAGGGAACTGGCTAACCCTCGCGAGTGGCGAGTGGAATGCTAATCAAGCCTGGAAGCCCTGAATCGTGAGACTGACACGACTCCCCTAGCCCCAAATTGAAAAGCGCCTACCCATCCAACCCCTGCAGGGGGGTTCTTGAGCCGACATAGCATTCTGATTATTACTACAAACTGGACGGAAGGGTTCTTGAGACATAAGACGCTGATCATGGTTTTCTTGGAGATGTCTTCGTCCTCACCCACGGCAAACTCCTGAGCATGGGCAAGATGGTTTGGGGTTCTCAGTGTTCAGGGCTTTGTTGGTTTTCTAAGTCGAGATGACTCTTTCGCATCTGCCCTTACCGGCTCTCAACCCTACGCACCACAGATCTTCAAGCGCACGGGCATCAGCAGGTAGCCACAACGCCCCATGAATCGGCAGTGGGGGTTGACGGTTTAGGACATGCTGGGCTACTTATCACTAAAGGTCCTACCAGGGCCTTTGTTGAGCAAGATCCGACCTGGTGTGCTTTCTGCTTTTCCCTTCCTGTGTGGAGACTTGAAGGAAATCGGTCTAGGCCGAGGCTTCCAGAATCAGAGTCACCCTTGAGGAACCCGTAAGGCTCCACATAGCCCAAAAGTAGGTACCATGTACAGACTTCAGACCCCAAAGTAGTTACTGTTTGTATACTTGGAGTCTTAGGGAACGGCTGGCGTTTCGAGATAAAGCAGCAAAGCAAAGCAACCACTCATCATGACCTGAACTCGTGTGATGACCCATGGTCCATCACACAGTCCGAACCACTTAAAGCTTCAATGCCATGGTCATGCATGGCAAACACCGTACACAATTGCCCACTCTCAAGCCGAACAAACATGTCTCCGTTTATCAGAGTAGCGTCCAGCTTGGAAGAGGAGGGGAAAGGGGGCGGGTCTCTGCTGCTGGACCTAACATAGGAGGCCTGAAAAATCAATTGCAATCATTATTCCTTTAGGTTCCTGATTGTTTTACTATAATCTACCCCGAAACCCTGTTCTACTTATTAAGGCCTCTATATATTGCGCTGGTCATATTCGGGAAAGACTCGCCGACCACCGTCTTCGGTTCCTTGAACAGTGGCTGAGGCACGATCTTGGAGTCAACCTGTGCACGCATTGCTGGGTTTAGGGTTTAGGGTTTAGGGTTTAGGGTTTAGGGTTTAGGGTGGTTAAGGATTTATGGGGGTTCACATGGGCCCTGAATAACCCACCCTTTTAAGCACTTGTATTCGTCTTTAATAAGGGAAATCAGAAGAAGGAACTCCTAAAGGTAGGTTAGTTGGTGTTAAAGAAATGTTTGGGGGTTTAAGGATCTCAGCCGTCCAGCTACGAAAACAAAACAGCGAAGACAACTCACGACAAGGATGGCCGGCACATGTCGCATGCGTCGTTGCAATGCTTCGAGAACATGAAGCAAGTGTGTATTAGATGCTTAACTTACACTCACCCGATAGCGTGCCTTGTTTTTCGTCGTCGCTATTTACCATTTTCGTCGTCAGACGCGGGAGTTTAGAGTTCAGAGTTTCGGGTGCAGGGCCCGTAAACAGGGTCATTCGATTTTCAGCTGCTCCCACCTCGATCTTGTCGAACTCGGACAGGAACTTGTCCTGAATGTCCAAGAGTGCGGGCCGCAGGAACATCAGCAAACTGAAGTATCAAGAGCTCAGGGTTCAAGCCGGCAAAAGAGGCCATACAAATCCAAAAAACCAGAGACAAGCCCTAAGCCCCAAAATGCCAAAGCCTGAACCACAACCCCTAAACCCTAAATCCCAAACCCATCTAATCCCCAAAGCCATGTCAGATCTTCAGAGGATGGTGGGGAGCATCGATTTGGCGCAGGGTTCTTGCACATGCGAACTGCCCTGCAGCTAAGTAGCAACATCCCTAAACCCTAAACCCTAAGCCCTAAACCCTAAACCCTAAACCCTAAACCCTAAACCCTAAACCCTAAAGGAAGGATAATCTAGCAGGCTTTAGGGCTCAGGGCTGACCGGGTTCTAAACCCTAGAGTGTACCTGTCACCGAAAAAACTACCTTTTTAAGGAGCTATATATCGAAACCATATTAAGGAACCCTAAAAGGTAGGTCTTTTCGGAAACAGGTAGGGCTTAGGGCTCAGAATCACTGGAGATCCAAAACCCCTCCTAGCCCCCCGATATGACAAGACGACAACATATGCTGGTGACTAATCGGGACAAAAAGCCACCCGGACATAAGCTAGATGGTTGGTATACCCCATACTGCCCCAGTGAAGTTATGTAGAGGCCTTAATAATTAGAATGGGGGCTGGGGTGCACTATACTATAACTATAATAAGGAGCTATTCTAATTACTAAGGCCCCTACAGTAAACCAATAAGGCAGGCACTAAACCCTAAACCCTAAACCCTGAATCCTCCACCCTAAACCCTAAACTTCCTAAACCCTACACCCTACACCCTAAAACCCTAAACTTCCTAAACCCTAAACCCAAAGCTCATGTTTGGATGGCCTCTGGGGGATACGGCTGCAATGCTTTCTGCGTTCGCCTCTTCTGGGTCCCTAAATTTAAGCCCTAGAGACCCCAACATAGGGGCCTTACTAGTTAGAATAGGGTTTTGGGGTACATAATGCTATATGGGTGGTTGTCAAAATTATGGTCCCTTTTGGGGTCCTTATTAATAATACGGCACCTATTATTTAGGGTACCCCCAAAAGGGATCATAATTTTATCAACTACCCATATTTATAAAAAGGAACCCCCAAAAATAGTATAGGTAGTTATATCAGCCTCTATGTTAAAGCCCCTAAGCCCTACAAGCTGCAAGCTGCCCAAGTTTCCAAAAGCTCCAAGCGGTCGTCGGCCGGGTCGTCGCCATAAAACCAGAACTTGGCGTTGGAAGGGTGGTAGAACCTCAGCTGAACCGGCTCGGGGGTTCAGAGCTTTGGGTTCAGGGTTTAGGGTTTTAAGGCTTAGGGTTCAGGGTTTACGGTTCAGGGTTTAGGGTTTATGGGTTTCGAGTTAGGTTTAAGGCTTATAGGCTTTTGGGAGTTTCGAGTTTAGGGTTTAGGACTTAAGGCTTATAGGGCTTTGGGGTCCGAAACTTGAACCTGAAACACTTTAAGCCAGACCCCAAGCTGTGAAGCCAAATGTTTGCGGGCCAGGTTTCCTTCGGCTTACAGCTCTGCTCTTGCAAACCCTAAACCCTACACCCTAAACTCCACACCCCAAACCCGAAACCCTAAACCCTACACCCCTAAACCCTAAACCTCACACCCTAAACCCTAAACCCCAAACCCCACACCCCACAGCCCAAACCCTACACCCTCCACCCTGAACCCTAAACCCTGAACCCTAAATACTAAACCCTAAACCCTCAGCCCTAAGAACTCTTGAACTTCCTTGGGCAGGAGGAATTTCGGACCGTCGGGCTTCGAAACGCTTCGGGATCTTCAATTCCAAAGGGACGCTGAACTCCAGGAGGTTCAGGGATTTCGGGTTTGGGGTGTAGGGGTTTAGGGTTTACGGCTGATAGGGTTGATAGGGTTTATAGGGGTTTAGGGTTTAGGGGTAGCCCGAAGGGTCCATGTACCCAAATAGTATATACTTTGCCCTCAAAGTAGTCCCTAGATAGGTACTTGTTGGTGCCAAAGTAGATACTACCCTAAACCCTAAAGCCCAAAACCCTAAACCCTAAACCCTAAAAGCCTAAAACCCAAAACCCAAAACCCTAAACCCTAAAGCCCAAAACCCTAAACCCCTAAACCCTAAACCCTAAACCCCTAGACCCTGGTACATGGAACCCTTGGGGGTTTCAGCTGTCAGGGCTTGGAGTTTCGCTTGTTCTGTTACGGGGCATTCTTCGTCGCTTGCGCTCCAAGGCCCATGTTGGGCAGGCTGGGGCTACGAGTTTAGGCTCCATGGTTTGAACTCGACTGTTTCGGTTTGGGGGTTTAGGGCTTAGGGTTGTGGGTCTAGGCGCGTAGGCTTGGAACTACGAGGGTAGGTCTCAGGGTTGAGGTCTTAGTGCTCAAGGTTACTGGTGCAAACATCTCGATGAACCAGCCTGTGAAAGGTGAACAAAAAACGATAAGCCCTAAACCAAAAAGATCCCTTACCCCCTCCCGAACCCTAAACCCCGAACTCGAAATGCCAAGACCTCTGAAGCCAATCCTTCGACGATCTTGCAACGAACGCGCTTCAATAATATTCGACGATCGAACCCCTAGAAATGCGAGTGCCCCACCGGTCTTTATCATGACCTGCATGTCTGCATGTTGAAACAAAAAGACAATAATGCCTGCATATATATCTATATATTGTTTCACGCGTGTCCTTCTCATACATACATAACTCAATAATACTGAGCCTTTTCCTCTATATACATATTATACATATGCATATGTGGGGGGCATCATCCTTACATACTCTGTAGACATGCACACTCTAGTTCTGTACACGCACATTTATATGTAGTATAAGGTAGGGTATTAGAATACACAGAGACACTGCAGCTTTTCGTGGGCTAAGAACTACCCCTTACCAGATCTTCAGGCAACCAGAAAGATGAATCCCTAAGCCGAACATGAAGCTTTATAGAACCCCAAGCCCTTAAACCCCCAAGCCCTAAATCGAAGGAGCTTGCCATGGAAGTTCTTGAAGTAGTCAAAGGTCAGGTTCGGGATCTCCCTCGGGTCACCGCCGGAGTCCACGCCGTACCTCGCTGCGAAAGGTTTTAGGGTTTAGGGAATAATGTGGGGTAGAAGGGCAGACTTAAAGTCTATCGAGGTCTATCGAGTTTCAGAAGGGTTCTAAAGGGTGTTCGTCATAAGGGTTTGTTTAGAGTCATGTATACCAGTGTCAGACAGTTTTCCTGGGGTTCAACAAGCACCCTAATGATTTCTCTTCTAGGGCTCAAGGCCGGCATCTGTAGCAAACTGAAGGATCCCATCATAGCCCCTAAACCCTAAACCCTAAACCCTAAACCCTAAACCCTAAACCCTAAACCCATCATAGCCTTCTCAACGTGGTAGCCTTTGAGGGGAAACCCTCCACTGCGAAATCTCTGAGTCTGCCCTATAAGGCTCCATCTACCCAAGGAGTATATGGGGGTTTAGGGTTTAGGGTTTAGGGTTTAGGGTTTAGGGTTTAGGGTTTAGGGTTTAGGGTTTAGGGTTTAGGGTTAAATAATAGGATCCTTGTTATAAGGACCCCAAAATGAGGTACCCCCTAGTTTTCGGAAACTCCCATATACCTTGGCCCAAAAGCACCTTTAGAGGGACTACTTTAAGGCCAAAGTATATACTAGTTGGGTACATGGATCCTGAGGGTTGGATGCTGCTTCAAGCACAATGATTACTGCGGTGCTTAAGGGTTGAGGGGTGTTGGGCTTAGGCTTTGGGTGTTTTGGGGGGTCTGAGAGTAATGGTTCAGGGTTTAGGGTTTTAGGGCACATAGTGTTTGAGGTAGGCTATTTTCGATTTTACTATTTGGCATACCTGTTTTTTTATGGTTCATAGAATCACGGGGTTCGTTTTGTAGGATATCGGGGATGTAAAGTTTAGGATATACTTGCCCAAGTCAGGTCTAGGGTTTAGAAGGTGTTTAGACTATACTGTCCAGGGTTGTAGGTTTCCAGGGTTTGGTGCAATGCTTACTACTCTGTCCCCTCAAGATGGCCCATAAAGGACTGCAGAACTAAACGGACTACAGAACTAACTGACACCGAAATCCCAAACTCCAAACTCCATAAACAGAACCCTAAGCTCCTTAGGTCCTAAGCCCCGGACACCAACCCCGGAAAGCGGCAAAAGTTGAGCCAAGCGACTGCGTGTCCGGGAACATGGACATGTTCGCCAGCCGACCGTGCGCGGCATCTGGGTTCGAGTAGACACCCTTCCTCGGATGATACTGTTGATGATAGAAATCCTGCCTGCATTACCTTAAGGGGCCTAGACTATGAGAAATATGGTATGGGTGCTGCAGGATCTATATCATCAACCGTGTGTCTTCGTGTGCCCTGAGCATCCCCCCAAAACCCTGAACCCGGTACCCAACGCCGACTTCCTCCACCTACTAGAATGGGCCTTCATAATTAGAACAGTTATTAGACCAGGATTTTGGGACCCATTATACTATAACTACAATAAGGAAACCCCCCAAAATAGTATAGGAATTAGTTAGGTTAGGCCCCCATAGTACAAACCCGAGATTTCTAGATCCGAAGCCCTACACCTCGAACATGGCAGCCCGACTGCCCCGCAGCGGTTAGGGTTTAGGGCTTAGGGTTTAGGGTTTAGGGTTTAGGGTTTAGGGTTTAGGATGTATTACTACCCCAGAGGGTCCATATACATTAGCATTATGGAATTAGGTCCCAAAAGACCATCCTTATTATGGCTTTAGGGACCTAATTCCATAATAGTAGTATATATGGACCCTCTTGGTACTAGGACTACGACGACCAAGACGACGACTACTACTCCTACTAGAGAGCCAGCGGTACTGAAGAGGGTGTGAAAGGAAGGGATACGTGAACAACGTCAGGACATTGGGCTCAAAACCTGCACATCAGTGGCTTGAGCTTGGGGCTGAGCTCTAGCTGCCCAAACAAGGTAGCTCGTATCGAGGCCTCAGTGGAAGGTTGTGGCGTTAGCGCCCAGGGTGAGGCCCCTACATGTTTGGGCACATGGACTGTTTGTGGCCCAATTTGTTCAAAGAAGTTCATGCCGTTAAGCCCTAAACCATACGCACCCAAGCCCTGAACCCTACACCCTAAACACTTAACCCTATAGCCCGAAAACCCTCTATCTCAACGAGCCTAAACCCATATAAGGTGCCAGCACTCTTATACGGTGTGCTCTAAAAAGTGAACCCGAGGCTCATCTCATTGAACACGACGCCCTTGTACTTCAAAGGCTCATCCTTCTTCTCCACCTGCTGTGGGTTTAGTGCTCAGGGTTCTGTGTCATGTGGCTTTGGGGCATATTTTCTGCGTCTGTGGAAAAGCTAGTAGACCAGAAGGAATTACCGAAACCCTGATCCCTTAACCCCTCAACCTCTTAACCCCTAATCTAACCCGAAACCCCAACTGCCCTAAGTCTACCATCCTCTGTGACCCTAGGTCAAGAGCAAGGCAAGGAGGCCTTCGCGGGGAAAATGGGGGACTCGAACGTAGACCCCAAACTCAAAATCAGGGGGCTCTGCCCCGAGACCCTGGCTAGTATAACCCCTAAGCCCGACAGGGGAACCCTAAACCCTATGTAAACCCTGTAACCCCTAAGGCGCAAACCCCTATAACCTATAACCGCTCACCCCTGCACCCTTGCCCGGCCTCATAGTGCCATCCCTCCTGGGCAAGCACCCGGGGGTCGTTGATGGCACGGGGATGGAAGACCTCGAAGTGAGGGAATGGTCTAGGGTTTAGGGTTTAGGGTGTGGTGAGGGCTTATGGCGGGATACACACAGGGCGTAGGGTTCAAGCATTTACAAGGGTGTTTGGACTGTAAGTGGTGTGAGAAGGAATCAAATCAACTTCACGGCTGCTGAAGCCAAGGATTCATCCTGCATGCCATGTTAGTCGCTTAGGGGTTTAGGGTTTAGGGTTAGGCTCATCCCTTCAAGGGGTCTTCATGAGCTTGGCAAGACTGGGGATGAACATTCTCGATACATCAAGTACCTATCCTGTCCCCAATACAGGAACACAAAACGTAGAAGAATCCTAAACTAGATGACTAAACCCTCAGCAGAACGCGGGAGGAGAGGAGATTCCAAGATTACAGGCGTCAGGTTTTGAGGTTTAGGGTGTGCAGGTGCCTGAAAGTAAAAACGAAGCTGTGCGGGGCTGAAAGTTACATATGCGGACTGTGAGGGACACTAATTTATTATAGGGGCCTTCATAATTAGAATGGGGTTTTGTAGCCCATTATACTATACTTATCATAAGGAACCCTCCAAAATAGTATTAGTAACTAGGTGGGCCCCTACGTTATTACCAAGTGCTCAGGCCCTCTAAGACTATGTGGTGGATGTAACCCTAAACACCAAACCCTACCAGTTGCCAAGTGCTCAGACCTCAAATAACGGGGTCGTGGGCCAGGCTTCGGGCGGGATATTAGGGTTTAAGGTATAGGGGTTTAGGGTTTAGGGGCTTAGGGTTTAGGGGTTTAAGGTCTAGAGGTTTAGGGCATAGGGGTTTAGGGTTTCGGGGTTTGGGGCTTATGGTTTAATCTTAGGCTCTATTCGGGGTTGCAGGGCGTTGGGATTCAGAGACCCTAGAGTGGTTCACGCCTTGAGGGTCGTGGATGGTCGGGGGCTTGGTTAGATAGAAGTTCGGTCATATGTAGGCCCGACAAACCATGCTACCGTTATGTAGGGGCCGCAACTATTCCTCACAGCTTTCCGTTCGGATCTTGATTATGACCGATTTTGGCAAATTTTAGGGTCGGCTTTTTTGTTGACAAGGGGTCTGCATTACCAAACTGAAAACCGGGCCCCGCATCAATCATCTCCGAGGTGCAGCATCCAGATAGACATCGATAAGGTTGTAGAAGTCCTTCACCATTGGATCGGTGTCCGGTCAGGGTGAAAGCTCCGGTGTTGGGACTCAACGTGAACTTAGCACTAGACTACTAGAGGTCTGAAAAAACACCAACATCGTATCTTCGGATAGTCCTGGAACATTACAATGGAATGCTTCCCCTACTCTACTGATTGACGCCCAAGTTCTAGGAGTCTTAGTTACTTGTGGGCTGCAGGTCAGCGCCTTGAATCTCCCAAGGGGTTTAGGGTCTTTGAAGTTGGCATGCTTATCTTAGTTCGCTAATTTTGCATAGGGCAATATGAAGCTCTAGGGGGGTTACTGAACTGGGCTCGTTGATAGGCTTTTGTTCTTTATAGGGCTCAACTCTGATGGCGGCAACCCAAACAGCAAGCCGAATGCACAACAAAAACATTCTAGAAGAGCCACATGCCCAACCGTAAACCCAACCACAAGCCTCCGAGTAAGTACTCCCTAAACTTAATGTAGGGGCCTTCATAATTAGAATAGGGTTTTGGGCTCACTATACTACAATGATAATAAGGAATCCCCAAAATAGTATAGGTAATTATTTAAGCCCCTATGTTACCCGACCCCCCGCAACCAAAAACGACCCTAAGTTCTCGAACACGCAAACACCCAAAATAGAAACGCCTGGTCAAAACCGACATCTCTGGACCTTAGCCCGTTCGAACCAGCCCAAACCCGGTAGACCCCCAAGAGCCTGAAAACCCAAACCCCCATCGAAGACTCCCTGCAAACCTCAGAAAGGCTTTAAAATATTAAAAACAGAAGCTTGAGATTGACCCGACACCCTAAACCCGACAACTCCCCCAGAAACAAGTCCTAAACCCTACCTGGACCCCAAAGAACCTACCCTTTTCAGGACTTATATAAAGAAATCTGAATAAGGAACCTAGAAAGGAAGGCTTTATAGGGTTTAGGTAAGCCCTAAACCCTAAACCCGTCCTTGAGATTGCAGCTGGCCACTGGGTAGCAGGTTCGGTCCGGGAAAGTCATAGCCTGCGAACCCGGGAGGGACTTAGACCCTGGGTTTGTTGGTAGTCTGGGAGCAGTTCTCTAAATTAGGGTCCCTTTTCGGTCCCCCAAATAGTCCGGCACCCTTATGAAAAGGACCCTTTACACGAACCTTAACTTGGAGAACTAGCCATAATATGATGAATATTCAAAGGTAATTGAAAATACATGCAGTTTGCTATGCATGTGTGAACGTACCCACTTCTTAGATATGCCTTATTTGGGTTTTAAATTTCAAGTGTCCATCACGCCCCCCCCCCCTCCCCCCACATGTATCATAAGCCTCAACTATATACCACGTCTAGCTCTTCAGCTTTCGAAGCTCCTTTGCATGTTAAAGCGAATATTCGGCGCAGCAGATGCCCCTCAAAGAGTCCGATCTACCTTAACCAAGAGGGTCCATATATACTACTATTATGGAATTAGGTCCCTAAAGCCATAATAAGGATGGTCTTTGGGGACCTAATTCCATGATGGTAATGTATATGGACCCTCTGGGTAAGATTTCAAGTGCCACATGGCGCCTTTCAGGAGCAGAGGTAGCTCTCTAGACATCTTCATGATGAGGATCCTACCTGCAGTCTCCATTGTAGTTCCTTTTTGGGGATACCTTATAAAATCCTTCATATATAATTGGTTAAACCAAACAAAAAAAGGGACTGCAATGGAGACTATAGGTACTGTTCGGGTTGTCATTTTGTGTCAGGTATGTTCTGAAACAATGATAACTATGAAAAAACCCAACAAGCCGACAACGGCTTGAGGAATATTCCCTGTTGCAACGATTCTGAATCAGGCAGTACCTGGTTGGAAGCCGGTTTAGGGTTTACAGGGTTTCAGGAAGCTCTACTGCCTTGGACCAATGGGTTTAAGCAGTTTATGGTATGGGTGCTACTCAGCATCTAGAATGCTAGCCACCTCAAGACCTGCCTTCCGACAACCTCCAACCAACCAAAATCCTCAGTACTCGGACTCTCACAGAGCACCTGAATCCTGACCCGCCACATGCAAAATTGCTAGGTGACCTAGCCGTAGTAATTAACAGTCCTTATAAAGTCCCTTATGTCATGAGGGCATAGGATAACCCCAGACCCTACTCTAATTCTTCCAACCCCCGACCTCACCCAACCTAAAGCCCAGACCCTACAATTCACGTCATGCCCATCTCTTCCAGGTAGGAGGCGTTCAGGAAGGTCTGGAGGCTCGACTTCATGAGTTCCACGAACGGCTCCTGCTTTCGGTTCCTATGACTTGGAGTTCGGGGTTAAGGGGCTAGGGGTTTAGGGCTTAGGGCTCTGAGGCCTAATTATCTAGGGAGTAGGGCTGTAGGTTTTCGATTTAGCAGCTTTCGGGCTTCAAGTTTAGGGAGTCAGGGGCTGGCTCTCGGGCTTAATGTAGGGGCCTTAATGGTTAGAATAGGGTTTGGAGGCTCCTTACTAAAACTATGCCTTCATATACCCCCAAACCCTATTCTAATTATTCAGGCATTCAGGCCCCTATAATAGGCCGCAGCGACTGGGAGTTTACATAGGGCTGTCGGGTTTCTCAGGACGGCAGGAAATGTAAGAAAGGGTTTGTTTTCCTTTAGCCTTCTGGCCTTTGGGCTCAAAAGCGTGTTCTGGCGATTCAACGCGTATGCCCAAGAAGTCATAAGTCCCAAAACCTTTCCATGACAAAAACCCACACATCGAACCAGGACGACATCCCTGCGCTAAAAAGGTAGTAGCTGCTCCGCGCTATTATGGTACTCCGCTTGCAACACCGAACAGCCTAGCAGAGCCCATTTTTGGGGTTTAAGTTCAGGGTCTGGGGAGACCCTCCAACAACGAAACTTACGGAAACCGGCAATCCTTCACGCGCACATTGTAGCACCTCTCAGACCAACCCTGCACCGAATCTAAAGTTGCTCACCGTCTAGATGTCCACGTCGCGAAACCCGATGCTCGATCGTCACAACGACTGACCCAAAAGCCAACAACCTCGACCCTGAGCCCCAAGTAAACCCTAAACCCCTGACCCAAAAACCCTGCTGCAACTTCAAAGCAAAAAAAATTCGTGAGCCCCCAACCCTTCAAGCCGAAAACCCTGAACCCCTAAACCCCAAACTCTAAGCAAAGATCACGAAACCACCAAACCCTAAGACCCCTAAGCCCCAAAGATGCTGAAACCCCATATGGATATTGCAGCATATTCTACTAGTCTTCATGTGTCGTATATTGTGACAAGGTAATTGTACATGAAAACTATAGTGTTAAATTATAATACAGTACTTTATAGTTAGTATCTTATACCATCCCATAGTACCTTTTACTATCTCATAGAATATTGTACGTACCTCAAAACCCTAATTTTTACAGGAGCCTTCAGTGGGTACTTGCGGCTGCCGCAAAGCACGGAGTGCTCAAGGACATGGGCAATACCGTTCGAGTTCTCCTGCTGCGTTTGGAAGCTTTGGGTTTAGGGTTTAGAGTTTAGGGTTCAGAGTTCAGAGTTTAGGGTTTGCAGTTTAGGGTTTAGGGTTTACAGTTTAGGGTTCAGAGTTCAGAGTTTAGGGGTTGAGATCAAGGCTTTCCGTTTGGGGTGTAGCGCGATGAGGGCTAGGTCCGAGGAACCAGGGGTCTCCAGTTGTGTACTTCGGGTTTGGGGGTTTGGGTAAAGGTGCTTTTGGTACCAAGGTTCCTAAACCCCAAACCCTCAACCCCAATGTAGGGGCATTAGTAGTTAGAATAGCGGTTCTGGGGGGCTCCTCGTTATAATTATAGTATCATGGACCCCAAAACCCTATCCTAATTATTAAGGCCCCTTGTTAAACCCTCATTTAGAAGGAATTGTGTTGCAGCTTGCAGGTTCAGGCTCTTGGACGTGTTTCAGGGCTTCCAAGGCAGCAAGCCCTCGATGCCCAGCCCCGGCATCGCAAAAGCACTGGGGCTTGATCTCATCATAGGATCCTTAAGCCCTACCTGGACCCCAAATATCCTACCATTTTAGGGTTCCTTATTATAGTTTCTATATAAGTCCTTAGAAAGGTAGGTTCTTTGGGGTTAAACCTAAACCTTAAACCCAAAGCCCTACACCCTAAACCCTTAAGGGAAAGGGGGCCCAAGGATCCCTCAGTCTCCCAAGGTGTTCCCCAGGGTTCCCACAAGGTTCCCTTGGGGGATCCCTGGGGCTCCTATCAACCAAAAGTGAACCACAAGAGCCCAGCTGCAATAGTGGATTTCTGAGCTATACTATGTAGGGTTTAGGGTTTAGGGTTCAAAGCCCCATCATACAAAAGTTAAGGGGGCTCCTGTGGTAAGGTCTCACTAGTTTGTAACAATATTCGCCATCCCCCGGCTAACTCCCCCACGAGGAAACTCCACACTGTAACTCAAACCGAATTCCAATTATCAAGGCCCAAGTACAAACATGTGCTCTTCTTCAAGACCCATGTTTTCTGAGGTTCAGGGTTGAGGGTTTAGTGCTCGAGGTGTGTAGGACTGCTAAATCTAAAGCCCTAATAAGCTCCCAAATCCACAGTTCACTAGACCCCAAACCCTGAAGCCTAACGGGACCCAACGCCCTCAACCCAAACCCCAAACCATTTAACCCGACAAAAGCCCTAAAAGCCTAAGCCCTAAAACCCTGAAGCCCTGAACCCCGAAAGCCCTAAAACCCTAGCATGGCTAACAACCCCGAGCTTCCGTGATTCAGAGGCTGAATATCCGAGCTTGCCCTGCTTCTTTCCCCAAGGTTTTCCACAAAAGGGTTCTCTCATGCAGTTCCATAAGGATTCCGATGGGTGTTTAGGGTTTAAGGGACCCTGCACAATCTCTACTTTGGCCCCAAAGTGTGTATATAGGACCTACTTGGAAGACAAAAAAAGTATAGTTTCGTGAGCCCCCAAGGATTTGAGACTTTTTCGAAGCAGTGGAAGAACCCACAACTGTGTCCTGTATTCTTTGAGAGACAAACCTTGTACATTCTTCAACATTTGTTTACCATTACAGGGGTCATGACATGATTGACCAAAGCCCTGGCTTGTAATACATTTGTTCTTTCTTGCCGTGGTGTACAATTACAAGAGCCTTACCAGAAGATCGGTTCTCCCAGAAACATGCCGTAACCTATAGAGCTTATAACCAAGAGGGTCCATATATACTACTATTATGGAATTAGGTCCCTAAAGCCATAATAAGGATGGTCTTTTGGGACCTAATCCCATGATGGTAATGTATATGGACCCTCTGGATAAGAAGGGTCTCCGGAGGCCCTAAACCCTAAACCCTAAACCCTAAACCCTAAACCCTAAACCCTAAACCCAAACCGCTCTGGGTAAGAAGGGTCTCCGGAGGCGTGCGGAAGACCACGCTGAAGGTCTTGTTCTCATCCGCTGGCTGCACCATGGACATCAGCTCAGCACCCGTCCTTCGAGGCTCCCAGGGTTTAGGGTTTAGGGTTTAGGGTTTAAGGGTTTAGGGTTTAGGGTTTAGGGTTTAGGAATTAGGGTTTAGGGTTTAGGAATTAGGGTTTAGGGTTCCCAAAGCCTGTATGTAAACTGACAACAGAAAAGACCTGCCTAGGTTATTCGAATCCTCCGTGCCCTAACCATCCTGTAAATGCTACAGTGAGCCCTAACACCATTAGGGTTTAGGCTTTAGGGCTGAGGCAGTAGAGGCCAAACTAGGTACTTCGCTTGCATGGTTGGACCCTCGGGTGGTTTACTGCTATGATTACTATAGGGGCCTTAATATTTAGCTATACTACTTCGGGGTTCCTATAATTACAGTATAATGTACGCCAGAACCCTATTCTAGTTATTAAGGCCCCTATATTAGGCGTATTGCGGTGCGCCAGAGCAAGAAGCTCCACATCTTTTTCCGACGGACGAGGGCTCAGGGGATCAAGGTTCAGAGTTCGGATACAGGGTTTAGGGTTTAGGGTTCTGGGTTTAGGGTTTAGGTTTCTGGGTTTAGGGCTTAGGGGTATGAGGGTAAGTTTAGGGGTATGAGGGTTTCGGGGTTGTGTAGGGTTCAGACTTTATTGGTTTGGACAGGCTGTTTAGGGTTTAGGGTTTGCAGACTCGTAGAATGGGCCTTGGGGCTTACCTTAACCCCAAATAACCTACCTCTTTTAGGACCTACATACAGAAATCGTAATAAGGAGACCTGAAAAAGCCAGGTTCTTCGGGGTCCAGGTAGAGCCAAAAAGATTGTAGGAGATCAGGCTCGGAGCCCCCCCAAGATGTGGTACGCCTGAATACACCGAGCTCCAAACCCCAAAACATTTTGGGGTTTAAGGGCTAAGGGCCTATAAGGGTTTAGGGGCTTAGGGTTCAGGGTTCTGGGTTTAGGGGTTTAGGGGTTTAAGGGTTTAGGGTACTGCTCAACCTTTTCCCTTGTCTTTACTCTTGGCTCCGCAACGGCATGCAAACCTACTTTGATTGTTCTTGGTGCTGGAACCAACTTCATGTAGCGTCGTGGTGAAGCCACTATAAGATACGCTTTTGCGTATTACATAGAGTGACCATACCATGGGACGAGTATTACAAAGCACTCGTTCCATCTTACCTGAACCTTCGATGCAATTCGACTCATGGTATGCGGAAAACCGAAAACCCTAAGCTCTAAACCTGAGGATCTGGAGCTGAAGCAGCGTCCTGGCAAATTTGCGACAGCAGCTCTTGCACATAGCCCCAAAAATAACCTACACCCTAAGCTGATGAAGAACAGCCTCATATCGAGGCAGAGACTATGCCATACCACATCTGCTTGCTCCAGGTTTAGGGCTTGGGGTATAGGGCTAAGGAGTTCAAACGAGGGCAGCCGGCCGCGCGCGTTCACCCAAGCCCAAACCCCACAGCACCCAAACACCCCTAACCCTCAACCCCAAACCTGTCCTCACAAAAGTTACAACCCTAAATCCTAAACCCCACAGCCTCACCAAACCAAACTGGCTACAACCCTACTGTCACACCCCCAAAACCGCCACAAACCCAAACAGAGCTACAACCCTAAACCGTGAACCTCAAACCCTCACAGCACCGAGCGTCTTATCATGCTGGAAGAGGTAGCCACTGCAGCTGAACTCCTTGACATACTCGGACCGGACGCAGGTCCATCCTGGGTTCTGCTAGGGTGCTACGGTTTGGGGTTTAGGGTTTAGGGTTTAGGGTTTAGGGTTCTGTAAGACTTGGCCCTAAACCTTAAACCCTACTAGGGGGATTTAAAGGTTCTCTTCACAGAGCTTTGACCACTTGACCTAGCATAAAATGAGAGGAAAACATGAACAGTTGAATACTTGTACTCGACATTCTAGATCCCTATTCTGGAGTTGTAAATTTTAAATACCCTGAACTCCCGAAAACCCTATACGCCCAACACTATGCTGGTAGCCTAAAAGTGCCTAGCACCTGCCAGGCTTCTTCTTCATCGGGCTATTACTATCCACGGTTCAGGTTTAAGGGCTTGGGGTTCGGGTTTAGGGTATGCAATTTTGAGTACGATTGTTATTGCAACTTAAAACCTTGCAGCCACAGCATCCAGAAACACTGTCAGAAGACTACCAACAAGACTGATGATGACGATGATTACACTAACAAAACGATAGCCAAACGAGCTAGCAACAGTACACAGAATATATATATATATATATACAACAAATATAAATAACTAGATGCAGAAACAATAACGATATTATCAGCAATAGTGATGAATCAGCAAAGCAGCCAAATAGATAGATGGACAGATAGATAAAGAACTATAACACAAAAAACATCCAATGAAAACAATACTAGGTATAACAGTAAAATACCACGTGCAGCAGTAGTAGTAGCAGCAGTAGCAGTAGTAGTAGTAGTAGTAGTAGTAGTAGTAGTAGTGGTAGTAGCAGCAGTAGTAGTAGTAGTAGTAGTCGCAGTAGCAGTAGTGGTAGTAGTAGTAGTCGTCGTCGTCGTCGTAGTAGCAGTAACAACAACAATAACACTAATGCTACCAGCAGTTTTAATCACAACAACACTGAGAACAAATGATAAAGCAATAAAGAACATAAAACATACATACATACATACATACATACATACATACATACATACATACATACATACATACATACATACATACATGTGTATATATATATATATAGCAAGGCTACAGGATAAAGACGTATTGCAAATACCTCTGCCAATGAATAAACAGCTAAGAACAGTAAGCAGGAAGAAGTAATCATAACAGCAATGGAAACCCCGATACACACTCATAATGGTAATCACAACCATCATCATAGCCATAGCCATAAGCATGAACAGTTACCAATAATCAACCCAGCATCCATGGAGCTTCTGGCCCACCTGGGAGTTTCAGAGAATTAGGGTACCTTATTTTGGGGTCCTTTTTATAGGGATCCTATCATTTAGGATACTATATTAGGGTCCCCTATGTTCGGAAACCCCCACCTCGTAGCTGGTACCCGTCTTTACGGGCGCCTCGGCCACCGCCTGCCTGGCCACGGCGCTGAAGCCACGGCCCTCGGCGCAGAGCGACACGCCGCTCGGCTGGACCTTGGCTGCTCGGTATTCGCATGTATGCGAGTATGTAAATGTCCGTGTATGTACATATGTACACAAATAAGTATCACAGATATTACCCATATAATCTAGAAACGCATATGTTGTATGTGTGTGTGCATACGCATATACATGCATAAGTATATATAAAAACTGATACAGGTACGTGTACATGCATGCATGCATACATACATACATGCATATACACATACATACATACATACATACATACATACATACATGCATGCATGCATGCATGCATGCATACATTAGACAACTCTCTCTCTCTCTCTCTAATTATATATATATATATGTACACAGCATTATACATACATACATACATACATACATACATACATACATACATGCATACATGCATACATACATACATACATACATACATACTTACATACATACACAACCTACGCACATGAAGATGCATATCTAAACATGAATGTATACAAGCACATATATACATACATATACATACACGTGTTTATATGTATGTCTGTATGCCTGGATGTATGTATGTATGCATGTATGTATGTATGTATCTATGTACGGATTTATGCATGTATGCATGTATGCATGTATGCATGTATGCATGAATATATGCATGTATGTATGTATGGATGTACAGATGTATGTACAGTTTTATGTATACACATAGATAGGTAGATAGATAGGTAGATACACATAGATAGAAAAATTAGAGGGACAGATAGATAGACAAACAGATAGCTAGCTAGCTAGCTAGCTAAATGGATAGAGAGACAGATAAATAAATAGGTACACCTACACATATGTATGCATGTGCAGACATTGTATGCATGTATGTATGTACGTATGCATGTGTATGTATGTATGTATGTATGTATGTATGTATGTATGTATGTATATATACATATATATATATATATATATATATATTTGTGTGTCTCTCTCTATATGTATTCATATGAACAGAAAGCCTTG